TAAAATGACAGGCAGTGCTGCTGAAAAAGCATCGAACATAAGCACCTTTTGAAAAGCATGTTTGGATAAACACTCTTAAGAAGGGATCACACAGGCAGAAAGTGCACAGTAGAAGCACCAGTGTTGCTCACTGCCGTCTACCGTGTCGGCTGCCCCTCCTTCCTGGCTACCCTGAGAGGGTAGGATAACAGAACCTCTATGGAGGACCAGCAGTTGGTATAATGGCTGTGTCGCTGGACTCCTATGTAGTCGACTGCAGTTTGAGTCCCGGACACGGTGGCTTAAACTCACACTGGGTGCATGTTTGTGCGTGCCCAAGATCCCGAGAGGAGAATGGAGGAGAAGTGACTACAGCGTGGCCTTCCCCCTGGGAAGTGATTTCTCGCTTTCTGTCTCTCTGTCTCTCTCTGTGTTTCTGGCAAGCGCATGCGCCCTATAACAAAAGACCCTCTCAAAAAACAAAACAAAACAAAACAAAAGCAAAAGCAAAAAACAAAGAACCTCCATGGATCTTCACTCCTACTATAAAATATAAAAGCTGAAGACCCAAGAAATCAATAGTATAACACAGTTGGAAGGGTCGCTCCTAAGGCACAACCAGGAAATGTGAAGAAAGTAAACTGAATGGATGCCCACAACTCTACACAAGAAATTATAAGTGAATTTGTCTTCACATCCAAGGGCTCTGCAGTATAGCTAAAGGTAGCAAACTAAAGGTGCCAAAAGGGGGACTATCCAAGTTAAGAAGAGATTTTTTTACAAAGTTGAAATGTTTTACAAGTTTTAAAGAGAAAAACTATTCAGAAGGAAGTTACACTAGCATGAAAAACAATGGTAACTTTAAATTCATGGCCAAGAAAGAACCTGAACACTTTTCATAAATGGATTTTTTTCTGTAAGAATAAAACTGACACCAAATAATAAGGACAAATATGAAGGAATGAAGACTTAAAAAGATGGCTACTTACAGAAGCAGGTAAAAGGGTGTTTGGAAAATGTAAACACTTACAAAATCAGCAAACCCAGATGGCATGCATACTTAGGTGTTAAGGGAACTAACTAATGTACTTACTGAGCCACTTACAATTATTTTTGAAAAATCTTGGAGAACTGAGGAGAGATCAGAAAATTTAAAAAAAGGCAAATACCAATTTTCTAAACAAGGTAGGAAGTGAATGCCTTGTAAATATCCCTTGTTAAGTGATAATAATTCTCAATAAAAACTAAGAGAAAATTATTAAAAACTTCTAGGGGCCTGTAAAACGATGAGTAACACATGGAAAGATATTTTAAAAACCATATCAAATTTGAATCTTATGTGATTCTCAATTTTTTTCAGATGTTATTTGCCAAATTGCTCATTCTTGGCTTAGATAAGAAACACTCATATAGACTGAAACACAAATGGACTGTGTCAGTGGGTGGATACTTCTAATAAGGTGTCACCAGAGAGAGTGCTGAGATCCATTCTAAATTAAAATATTTACTAATGATCTAGAATAATGAGTAAATAGCACTGTGGCTAAATCTGTAGTTAGCTCTAAATTAAGAACTGTTGTTAACACTGGGCAAAACAGAAAAACAATACCAACATAGATTTGAAGCAATGAAAAAATGCAGACTCCAAAAATAAAACTTTGAAGAATATTAAATAAAAGCATTAAAAGTGAAAAGATTTAATGGCAAAGACAGAGAAATATTTAAAAATGATATTAAAAAAATGGATAACAGATTTATTCTTATTTCTTAATCCAGCATTGCCACACACACACACACACACACACACACACAAGAGCCAAAAATAAATACATCAATAAAAGCATTATATTATGGATCCCTGTGATTAGACCATACCCGAAATGGTGCTTACACTGTTGGTTTTCTAGTACTATAAAAATGCAAAACAAGAAAAAAGAATTGCAGAGAAACAGAAATGAGGGGTTATTTTTGTAAGGAAAACTAGCTCATTAAAATACGAATGGCTGCCACTAAAAAGATAAAGGTAGGGTATGAACTTTCAGCCATGGAAACACGAACACTGGTGATCTGGGAAGACAAATGCGGAATCCATGCTAAGATAACTACAAATGGTATGTCATGAAACCAACCACCTCATAGTATACAATACCATACAGGGAGGAGATGAACTGGTAATCTATTATCATCCTTAGTTCTAATATGTATTTCTGTGAAACTACTGGGTTTTCTAACTTAGATAAAATCTTTCTATTTAGTGTGACTTTCTCCTTTTGACTACAGGCTAGAGCTGTCTAATCGATGAGCTAATAAAATTCAGAAGTGACAAAAACCAGTTGACTTCTGTTCCAGAACAGTGACAGCATGCAATTTATAAAGATTAAATAAACCAAACAATTACCATCCTTAATATACAAAATTTAAAAAAGGGTTGAACTATATATAATACATTCTTAGGCATGTTTTTGCTTGCAGAGAAACCAAAACAATAAACCATGGAACTTCAGATGAGCCAATATATCAACAGTTAGCTTCACTGTGGGCCTTTCAGACGTGGTAATAACAAGTTTAAACAACAGATCCTACTTTGGGAAGATTCATGGGTGTCCTCAGTCGGGTCCTGACGCTCTT